CAATGACCGCAATCAATAGGCATCTAGTGACATACCAAATAATAACAAAAAACCATCGATCGCTCGAATGTCATCAGTGAAACAATATTATTTTCAAACAATAATAATCTAGCTGGTCGACCATTATTTACTTATAATAATATGCAAGGGTATATAGCAATTACATAAATATAAAATACTATTTTCACAACATTTTCTGTAAAAAAACACATATTATAATTATTAATAAGTTTAAACTGGTTGGAATATTGGATAGCTATATCAGGATAAATTTTAGGGTAACTGGCTTGGGGACATGGACCAGGACGTTTTCGGGATGGACCAAACCTTCCTCACCATCCTTTAGCTGGATCCGTGTCTTCAAATTATAGATTAATAATTTATATTGATTAAGTTAGGAAGTGTCACTACTGAGTGGTTTCTTCCAACAACTCATTCATGTCATTGTAAATTCTTATTGTACCGCAGGGTACAGATTGTATATTTCATATCAAAAAAAAAAAAAAAATTTTTAAATATTGATTAAATATAGTTGTATTGACACAAAAAAAAAAAACAAGGAGTTCATACAAAATTATTTTTTTTCTCGTGTAAAAGTAATCAAGTGATTTTTAATAAGAATAATAAATATTTAATAAAACGCACACTATATTATTTATAGGTACCAAAAGAAAAATCCTGATTATTACATCAGCATCAAATGGACGCATAAAATAGTTTTTTTGAAGAGTGGAGCGAGGAGCCATTAGCCGATACATAAAAGTGTTATAATAAAACTTAAAAGAACCTAATTTAGATGTACACTAAGTACACATTATGACTGAAACAATAATATTACTTCTAAACTTTAAGCTCTTAGATATTATATAAGTTTTCAAGCGTGTTTCTTTAATAAAAAAAAAGTACTACAAGTTTATTATCATAATCTATGATTATTTATTAATGTAAAAGAGTCCCACAATTTCTTTGCAGTTAAGAGGGTGCAACGCTCGTATTTGTTGTCTCCGTTTTACAAACGCGTAACATGGCAAATTTACGATCAGCCGTTCACGTTTTACTCTGTTAGCTTAAAAATTAGAGTGAATTGACCTATTATGAAGTATTGTGCTGAATAGTTCCCAGTATTGTGCTAAACAGTTCCCACCCGTTCCTGGTTTTTGAACAGGAAAAAAAAAAAGAAGAAGACCTATTATGAAACTTGATGGTAAAAACGTTATCTGTTTTTTGTTGGAAGTATTTTTACTACAATTTAATTTTTAAGTGAGTTATGAACATTTTTATTTTACAATTTATTATACGCGTATAACTCACTTAAAAACTGAATTATCGTAAAAATACTTCCAATAAAAACAGATAACGTTCTTAATATCAAGTTTCAAAATAGGTCTATTCACTCTAATTTTTAAGCTAACGGAGTAAAACGTGAACTGCTGAGCGTAAATTTGCTATGTTACGCGTTTGTAAGACCGAAACAACAAATCCCCGGGTGTTGCGCTCTCTTAAAACTAACACTTTTTAATACCATATACTCTCTTAGCTTAAAAGGTGAAAGTTAAAAGCTTAAAATATGATGACTAGTGAATTAGTGAGTATCTATTATCGTGCACTTAAATATTAGGTACTCTTTGTCTATGTTACTATTTGGCCATTTAGGAATTAAGTAAGTATTACTTGTTTAKTAATAAACAGTGAAAATTGTATAATACTATAATATATACAAGATACAACAATCATAATATAAACGGTAATAGTTATCTACCATAATTATATTTATGACTACCTAATAATATTATATATGATCTGTGATTTTTTTTATAATAATTAATTCATCACAAAAAAATATTTATGGACGCAAGGACGTTGGCTTTAACTTTTCGATAGGACTGCCAAAATGTATAATAGATATAATCTAACGTACAGATACAGCATTTTAGTTTTCAACTAAACCAAATCATTTTTATTCTCTTGGTATGTGTTCAAATGAAAATTTTTTCTAAAACTAAATAAGTATTTCTCTGCGATGTATTTACTATTATCGTTTTAATGTTGTATCTAACAACCTTTTCAAAACATATAAAATAGCCACTATTCAATCTTCCAACCTTACGAAGTTGTACAAATTTACTTCCACTTCGATAATACCCCAAAACCAATACGGCAACATCCCTGTAAAGACATGGAAATATAGAGGTTGGAAATAGATAGATGATGCAGTATAATATATTTCGTTGTGTATACAATGTGATTTTTTAAGCATGCTTACTCTCATTTTTCTTTTTAATAGTCCTATTTATTCAAATTCTGAGCTTTAGAATTTTTAATAAATAATATTCAAAAACTATTCACTCAAATTAGTCGAATT